CTTGAAATATTCTATATTAGAAAGTCCTGAGAGCCATGGGATTGGGGGATTGAATTAAGAAATATAGCACTGAACCTCTGGCCCGGACTCAGAGCTTCTAGTTCTGAGCAATTTGGATGCAAATTGGGGTCGAAAGTGGCACTATTTAGCTGTTTTGCAGAGGGACGGATTTTCAAAATGGCTACTTTTCCGGGCAGTGAAATTTCCTTCATTTTAGGCGTGGTCTGCTGTGGGTGAGAACGTTTCAAAAATTCATCGGTCAACTCACTAAAAATTGAAAGAAAAATGAGAAATGACATGACGAACATCATTTTGCTGACCAGCTTGGACACCCGTGAGAGTTGTGACTACTTTAAAAAACGATTTTGAAATGAATGGATTTATCATTTACGAAGGCCTATTAGTGCCATGACTGGTATTGCAGGATCTTTACTTGCCTTATTGGGAAAAGATCCTAAAAAGTAAATGGAATCATCAAATTGTCATTTGTTAAACCCCGGCTTTTGCAGGTCCTGTGCAACCCATTTGATGGGCGACGCACGACGGGCGACGCACGACGAGCGACGGAAAATGGCATGTTTGGGGATGGTAAATGGCAGATTTGGGACACAACAAAAAGCAAAAGGCGACGGCGGACGGCAGATATGGAATTCCATATAAATCCCACCTGCAAAGCTTATACTAGTCCCATAATTAATGCCAATAATGCTAGACTTCCCCTGCCCCTTGAGAAGAAAATGTCCCCTTTCTGAGAATTCAACCAAGTGTTTTTCGGGGAAAAACGTTTTCAGCAAAAATGTTCCGGCCAACTTATTCACAGTCTAATTCTAATTTGCATACTGTAAAAATGTGCTGACTTGTTTTCATCAAATTCTAGAAAGAAATCTGCCAACCGATACAGATATTCATTTGTCCTCTCAATTTCACTCTGAAATCCAGAAATACTAGACAGTGCTGTGGATAACAAACTGTTTATTAAATGTATTGTTAGGGGGCAATTACTACTTGGTTTAAGTTTCAGAAAATAAGACGTGCTGTTTTTTGTGGGTGTGCATGCCATGGTGGATAGACCAATGAGAACAGGTTGTCAAGCATATCAGCATTATTTATGGGGCTAACAAGTAACGTTACTGTTCAAAAGACTTCTGTGAGCCTACCTGCAACTCAAGTCATGTCTAATTTGGAGTATACAGCAAATTTCATCAGAGGTATACCCGCCTTCAAAATAATGTTGAATCAGTTCTTCTCTTATGAAAAATATTAAGGAATCAAACATTGTAGATAATTTATTATTTACATTCAGTTCTGTGGAATATCGTGCAGGGACAGACAGAAATATTACATATAGACCTAACATCAGGCCGTTAACGAGTAAAGTTACGTCTAGAGTAACTAAGTTATCAAGAAAAACAATCTACCCAAACAAAAATCTATTTTGTTAATTTATTTATGTAACAAAAATGGTATTATTTCATATACACGTCACTTTACCGATGTCAGTCTTTAATAATGAAAGTTTTTTTTTTCAAGTGGAGTTCGGCACAACTGCAAAAACGAATACATCATCTAGTTCTACTGCTAAAATGAGAGTCAGGCATGGTGGATCGAACAAACAGGGACATGTACATGTGAAACGACCACGGGTCAAAGTTAAAAATACCACTGGGCAAGCGTGACAAAAAAAAACACGGACGACAGGCGACGGCAGATATATGAATTCCATATTGCTGAGAATGAGAGAAACATACTGAAAGCTGCACTGAAGCAGTTCCTTTCTTACAATGAAGAACTAGTTGAAATATTGGGGGAATATAACTGTAAGAAAATGCCGTCAGAAGCCAATCTTCCCAATATTCCCAAGATTCATTGCTGATTGCATGCAGCCGGTGCTGAAATCACTTCACCTCACAAAACTGAGTTTCGCAGTTTCTATGATAAAATGCAACCATCATCTAAGACGGTAATTCCAATATGTTGCAGTTTCCTCTGCAATGTACAATAAGTGAAAAAAGTGTTGGGACATATCTTAAGAGGTACGTGAGATCACTTAATGAGCATATGCCGAGGAGATTTTTGCGGTATTGAACAGGATCTGATGAACTTTCAATGAATGTTATCAATGTGACATTTACTCAATTGACAGGTTTAAAAAAACAATCAGTCACACCTGTGGAAATGTGTTGGAGATGCCCTCAACCTA